CTCCGCCTCGCCCCGGCCCGCCCGGCCGCGCAGCCAGGCGTTCGCGGGCCGGCCCCGCCCCCTGGCCGGCGGCCCCGGCGCGTCCTCCGCTCGCCGCCCCCGCCTTCCAGTTGGTGCGGTCCAGGGCGAGCACATCATGGCGATTGAAGGTAAGTGGAGGCCGGCGGTGTCCGCGAGGAGGGGAACGCCCAGGCGGCGGGCGCTCGCGGGCGCCCGGGAGGCCGCGGCGCGGCTGGGGCGCTCCCCGAGGGCGGGGGCCGGGCTGGGGCGGCGCTGGGGTCCCGGCCGCGTCTCGGAGGCGGGTGGGCGGAGCGGCGCCGCGGGTCTGCCGGCTCGCGCGCGCTCGCTTCTCCCGGCCCGGAGCCAGTCGGCTTCAGCCCGGGGCCCGGCGCGGGGAGCAGCTGCTCCCACTAGCAGGTCCCGTGCCGGGGCCGCCTCCTCCTGCTGGCGACCCTGCAGACCCCGCGGGCCGGGCCGGGGGAGCGAGGGACCGCGAGGTGTACCCCCTTCCATGGACCTCGCCCGGCTCACTACCCTCCCGCAATACCCGCCTTCCTACCACACTGGGAGTCCAGCTCTGCCGTCCCGGTCCTGACCCGTGTCCCGGTCCCTACCCCTGAGCCGACGCAGGGCAGCCCTCTCCGTCCATCCCCTTCTGCTTGCTGTTGTGGGGGACGGGGAATTTGGGATGAGGCTCATTTCCTCCTCATGTGTTTTTTTTCCTAACACTCAAAAAACGAAGAGAAGCAAATCCATCTTTACAATAAACGCACACTACTGGAATCCTGCAAATTTATCAGTCCATTAAGGGGCACAGCGGTGACAGTACTCTTCTTTTCAAAAAGTAGCCTAATTAGGTTCCCAGATATTGTGGTTGGCGCTAGAGTGTATTTTTCTCTTGTTCCAAAAACATGTTTACTGGAAAGAAGTGTCTATATTTTGCTTCGTTTTTAAGGAAGATTCTGTGAAAATTAACATCACATGTCTAGGATAATTATGTGAAAGACTGAGCACCTTCCAGCCGCTGTCTCACTCCTAGCTTAATTCAAACAATGAAAGTAGTTTGTAGAATTTCTCTGTTGTATCCATCTGTACAGACGTGCAAGGTAGCTGGTTATACTTGGATTCTCATGAGCTTAAATGTTTTGTGTTCCTCCTCAGTAAAACTTTTCAAAGCACTTCCCATCTTGGGGACCAGTCTTTAGTAGCATACATCTTTGGGGGTTCTTTTGTATAATCTTTCTGCCTCCAAAATTACTTTAGCTGTATGTTGACATATACCTTATTTAAGAGATTGGTTATTGATTATATGTAAGACACACATTCTCACAGTTTTAGATATCCACTTTAGTTAAAATGATGGAAAGCACTGGGAATAAGACCTACCGATAATCTTTGACATTCCTGTTGTCCAGAGGGCTACTTTTTCAAACACATTTCCTTACTGTACATTTTACTAGAGGTTAAAAACCAAGAAACCAAATCCACTGATTTGTGTGCTGTTATGTTTTTTCCACAACCAGTGTGTGGTAGAATTTCTTAACCATGTAGAAACAGGTTTACGCAAAAGGTGAGGAAGAACTTGCCAAAAATAGCATCTCAATCTGATCCTATAATTTACAATGTCTTAAAATATTTTCCAATTTTACCTCTCTTTTTGTCCTTCCTTTCTTCCCTCCTGGCAGTTAACTGTGACTGATTCGTTTTCCATTGTCAGTTGATGGCATTTTGCTCTGTCTACTGCTACTTTTATGTTGAAAGAAAAAGAGTTTAAAAATTATTATATTCTACAGTCTTCTGTGTTTGAGATGCTTTCGTAAATATGTTTCTACTTAATCATTTGCTTAAAGCTTCGTAATATAAAGATCAGGAATTACGAATTATGTCTTTTCTAGTTCGGCAAAGAAAGAAACTAAAGTTAATGTTAGCATTTCAAATAAAGATGTCAGGTCAGGTTAGTCTAGCTGGGCAGTTTATCAAAACTAAATCAGATTCTTTATGCACACCATCCCCGTGCTGTGTTATGAAGTAAAATGAGCTTTGGATGAGGCCTTTGTACTAGGGACATCTTAGTATTTTAGGGAACCAAGGGGCATCTCATCCAACCTTATTCCCAATGAAGTGATTCTCAAAACATGTAGTCGCTTCTTCGCCCGTTAATTCAGTACACCTACTGAGCACGAGCTGTGCTTATTCAGTGTTCTGTGCTAGGCTCTATGAGACCAAGAAGATGTCTAAGACGACGTTCCTTCCCTCAGGAGCACAGGCTCTAGTGGAGAAGATGGATAATCTTAACCACGCCATTACACTCTAGTATGATGGAGACCTGACACCAAGAGATGGATCATCCTTTTTTCGTATAGAAAGTAAAAGATGATGAATTTATTGAACTCACATGCCAGTGAACATTGAACAGTGTATGCCAATATGAGACTATAATTCTTAGAGTTCATAAGGTCTTTGATCAAAACTCTGCCATTCAGTGACTTCTATCTATCTACTCACCCTGATTTTGCTTTCTGGAGCAGTACATTCAAAATCCATTATTAATAAATGAAAAGTACATAGAATTTTCCTAATTTATATTTCCAAGTGGTTGCTAGATACCAAGGATGTCCCACAGGAATCCTAAGTGTTTCTTTTGGGACATTCACATGTCCTGAAGTTGTCATCAGAGTCACCAAACCCAGCCTCCAATACTCCCCACTCCATGAAAATTTACCATCTGAGTGGCATTTTAAAATAGCCGGACATCCCAGTTAGAAATCCGTAAATCAACACTGTTCACCCCCCACATCTTGTTGTTCACTAAGTTCTTCCAATTCTCCGTCTTAAATTAATGTATGATACTTAGTGCTTACAGTTTAGTTCATTCCCTTATCTCTCATTACTTTCCACACTAGTCTTGGTAGCACCAGTCTTAAGGTTCCTTGCAATCCTCTTTCTAAACTTCTGCTGGTTAATCTTTGTAAAATACAAATCTAAATTAGTTAAAAACTCAGGATAAAGCTGGTCTTTAATGATTTGGCCTATGCCCTTCGTTCATCCAGTGTATATTCTGTCTCTCCCATAAGAATCTCAGAAGACTCCTTGCAAAGTATTTTGCTGAAATAAAAATATTCACCTTTGTTATTAATTTACTCTATATTAACCTCTCTGGTTAAGTTTTAACTTTTTAATTACTTTTTAATTTTTAAAAATAACACAAGAAGAGTAAATTAGAATCTTGTGTGTGTATGTATATATGTTCATAATGTACCCTATAGTTTACCACACTTTCATGTTTATTTTTAAAATCGTCACTATTATTCTGAGGTGCTCTTGAACACTTGTGACTCTTAGATTTCCAAGGCAGAATTTGAACTTTAAAAAGCCACGTGAAATACTGACTTAAAAAGCCCAATACATGTGTTGTATTATTAGTCTTGAGGGAGAGCATCATACTCCTCTCCTGCTTTCCATGTTATTATTGGGGAGATAGCATTACAGTGCAATAGGGAATAATAAAATTAGAAAGTCACACCTGTCCACAGTCTGTGGCAGAGTGAGGCAGTTTATTGAACAGTTTATTTTTGGAGCATTTGCAGTTCATCTTAATGATATTCCTAAAAGGGATACTTTGATTTTTGGCAGGAATAAAATTTCTAATGTTTCACAGAGATTTAAAACATGTTTGGGTATTAGGTGGATTTGTTTCAGAGGCCTCTGCAAATACTTTTGAATAATTTACAATTTAAGGTTCCTTTTCTAACTCATTAAACAAAATCAGAAAAAAGTAGGGAACACTAGAGAAATTGTTGTATTAAGTAGCATTTTATTTTTTGTTGCTTTAAGTAGCGTTAGAGTGGAACAGTATATGCCAGTGTAGGAAGCAGGGACAACCACATGTTGGCTTATTATACAATTTGCTGAGGACTCTTTGCATTATTGCTTCCTTTAAAATGATTGTAAGTCTGTACATAGCACATGTGTAGTAGTATGGTAGATTTTCTTCATGGATTTGATTTCCATTTAGCTGACTTCATTCTTTCCCCTCAAATCCTAGCCAGTTAAAACCTAATGTGAAAGTGCCTATATAGGGATAATGTGAAATTGAACAAACTACTATAAATAAAACAGTCCAAGTTTTTGAGTAAAATGATTTTTTACATATTTTGTATTATATGTAGTGAAATCTGAATTGAAACCTAACAAACTGGAACCCTTGATTTCCCACTTTTTAGAAGGAGGAAATACAACACAGCAAGCTGTTACTAGGAGTTTATTTAAAAACAAACTTCTGGATCCATATGTATGTTCAGAACAATTTCTTATTTTCATATTTTTAGGGCTATATTAGAATTGATATTCACGGTAAAGTTCTGTGTCATCCAGAGATAGAGGATTTTAATGACATATTAAACTATCCTTCAGTATTCTGAATTTACTAATACAGTAATACATATGGGTAGTTTTGGAAAACTGACCTGGTGCAATAGTCAAAACAAAAAGGTGTTCTGTTAACTAGAAGATGTAAGTAAAACACCTTTTGTGAGCACATACTTATTTGAGGTTTTATGGTATTACCTTAATGAGCTTCTAACAGGCCAAAACATAATTAAATTAAAAAACTGAATAAAAGTGGCTCAAAAAGTGGGAAAAATGGATTACATTTGTCAACAGTAAGTTTACTTTTCTAAGACAAAATTCATACCACTGGAAAAATTATTCATTAAACAGGAAATTATATGTTTCAAAGAGACTGCATTTAGCATGCTTTGTATATTATAAAGTGCTGTAAGTGACTGTTATGAAAAGAGATACAGTTGGTTATTCTGTGCGTTACTGGGGTGGTGGTGAGTATGTGTCTCAAAATTTACTTTTATTGGGTGGGAGTATTACAGATAAAATCAGTTTGTAGAAGTCAGTAAGGAAAGGACTTATTCAGGCTATTTTAACTCTACAGTAATTGCATAGCAACAACCAGAAAAGAAAAGGAATTCCAATTTGGGAGGATAATTCTCAGAGGGTTGAAGGCCTGTAAGTTTTTTTAAGGAAAAATTCTAGAAAGAGGACAAGTTAAGGGTGAGAAAATTAACAATTACTTGGGAATATTTATACAGGACGGTGTTTGAAATTAAATGAGAATTGATATTGTAGAAGAGACAAA